CCCATCCCTAATTTCTCCAAGGACAACTAAGAGTCAACCACATTACTGTAGGTCTGCAGTTACATGTTGGCCAGACCAGGTAAGAGCAGCAGATTTTCCTCCCTTAGTGTACCAGCTGGGTTTTTCCAACAATTGACAGTGGTTTCATGGTCATTTATGCTACTCATAACTCCAGGTAATTTTTAGTGAATCCAAATTACCTCATTTGAAGGTTTCTTATGGTCCAGTGCTTAATGCCCTTATCTCTGAGCTGGGACACCTGGGTTCAAGTCCCACCTGCTCCAGAGGTGTGTAATAACATCTCTGAAAGTGGCAGATGGAGTTTAATTTGGATAAATGTGAGGTATTGCACTTTGGTAAAACAAACAAGTGCAGGACTTATAGTTTTGTTGGACAGAGAGACCTAGAGGTTCAGGTACAATGTTCTTTGAAAGTTGCGTCACGGGTAGACAAGGTGGTTAAGGTGGTGTTTAGCACACTTCACTTCATTGCTCACACCACTGAGTATAGGAGTTGGGACGTTATGTTGAGGTTGTAGAGGACGTTGATGAGGCCTCTTCTGGAGTACGGTGTCCAGTTCTGGTTGCACTCATATAGGAAAGATATTATCAAACTGGAGAGGGTTCAAAAATGATTTTCCAGGATATTGCCGGGACTGTGATAGGCTGGGATGTTTTCTCTGGAGCGTAGGAGATTGAGGGGTGACCTTATAGAAGTTTATGAAATCATGAGGGGCATGGATAAGGTGAGTTTTTTTTCCCAGGGTGGTGTTCAAAACTAGGGGGCACATTTGTAAGGGGAGAGGAGAAAGATTTAAAAGGGACCGGAGGGGAAACATTTTCACACAGAGGTGGTTCATATGTGGGAAATGAACTGCCAGAAGATGTGGTAGATACAGGTACAGTTACAACATTTAGAAGACATTTGGGCAAGTACATGAATAGCAAACGTTTTGAGAGACATGGGCCAAATGCAGGCAAGTGGGATTAGTTTAGTTTGGGAAGCTTGGTCGGCATGGATGAGTTGGACCGAAGAGTCCTATAGACTCTTTCACAAGTTGATTAGACAATTTCAGCATCTGCCATGGTAGGATTTGAATCTAGGACATTACCTGGGTTCCTGGATTATTAGTCTGGATATACTGGTCCATCACGTCCCATGGTAGCATCTCAGGACCAGAGGTAACTAATGAAATATGGCCTTGTTGTACTGTGCCCAGATGAGAACAATGTAAAAATGTTATTTATTGAGTTAGGTTACACCCCCTCATGTCAACAGATTGTATAATCAATCATAGAGCCTTACATTAGATTAGGGGCCTTTCAACCCATTGAGTCTGTACTGTCAAAAATACACTGCTACCTACACACCCAAAAAACAGAAACTGCTGCTCAGGACAGGGTTCTGAAGAAGGATCACTCAACCCCGAAACATTAATTCTGATTTGTCTCCACGGATGCTGCCAGACCTGCCAAGCTTTTCCAGCAATTTCTGTTTTTGTTTACAGCGTTCGCAGTTCTTTTGGTTTTTACATTATAATTTATATTATTCCCACTTTCCTGCACGAGGCCCATAAACCTTGAATTTTTGTTTTATTTATTCACGGGATGAGGATGTCGCTGGCTAGGCCGGCATTAACTGCCGATCCCTAATTACCCAGAGGGCAGTTAAGAGTCAACCACATTGGAGTCACATGTAGGCCAGACCAGGTTAGGATGGCAGTTTCCTTCCCTAAAGGACATTTGTGAACCAGAAGCATTTTTTCGATAATTGACAATAGATTCATGGTCATCATTCTACTCTTAATTCCAGATATTTATTGAATTCAAATTCCACTATCTGCCATGGTGGGATTCGAATCCAGGTCCCCAGAACATTATCTGGGTCTAATATCACTAGGCCATTGCCTCCCCTGTTATGACACTTCAAGTATTCACTAATATCCTATCAAAAAAGTCAAAACACTTTATGCTAACTTTGGAACCACAGTCACATTGCTATTAAGAATTATACTGGCTTCCATTTGCTGAGCTGATGAAACTTTCGTCTCCACATGTAGACTCAAGGATCTTAGTTTATCGTCTAATATGACATATCAGTGCAGCATTGAAGTTCTTTGAATTAATGTTAAAACTCAAGCATCAGTTATATGGTTACAGCAAAGAGATTACTATTGACAAAGAAAACATTTTAGCTGAATGGGTGTACCACATTATCAGACTTGAAAGGAAATGCATGCTGGGTCAGGATTTGATTGAACAGTGAAGACTTCTGATTTCACTAGTTAACTCACTGAGCTTTCCATTTGATTACCAAGAATATTCATCAACTCTCCAAATTCCTTGGGGCAGATAATCTATTTAGTCTTATGTGTAGGGAGAAAAACAAACTTTGAAAGACATCTAATTAATCAGAAGATCCATCCTAGCACTTATAGAGATAACTTGTATCGATTGGGCTGAGTGTTTTCTACAGGAATTATGTTCAAATATAATTGTATTTGCATGTTCATAAAACAAAGAAACTTCACTGGTTGTCACACATGCAAATACAAGAGATGTTTTTAAATTGACCTGTTCAGAGATGTTAAGATACACCTCTGAAGAAGGTAGATCTTAAACTGGCCCATAGGTGGGGACACTATTTCTGCACCACAAGAAAATTTCACCATGTTCTATTATGGGATTTAAGCACAAATCTATATACATCAACCTCGGCATTACTGGGTCACCAGTGCAGTAACATTACCAACATGCCACCGCCTCTGACAAAGCTTTGTTATAACAGAGTAAACACAGAACTGCAAAAACAAATTGAGAGAGCAGTAGTCTAAATATTAGATTCACAGATTAAGTTAAGAAATCACCCAAAGTTCTTGTTAGGTTTAGCCCAGGTAATAGGTCAAATTTGCAATCTTTAAAAGTCATTGTTCAAAATGGGCTTAATAGAGATTCCTTCAGCGAACCACTAATTATATTAGTTTTTAAATCATGTTTGGTGCATTCAAGTATTGTCCAGCCAAGTTTTAAATTGAGTTCTTTAATTTAATTTAATTTTAATTTTGAACTAACTTTAATACTGACTCCTTTAACATATCAGTCAATCAATTTGGTCTTAAGACTGGTGTTTGCACTTGAACACTGTTCAAATTGGTTTGGATGTGGATTCCTGCTTTAAGTCAGTCTTTAAACAAGTGTTCATACTGATTGCTCTATTAAATCACTGCGTTAATTAGAAACTTCAACGAGCACTCCAAGCAACAGCACGGAAATAACTTCTGCTCAAGCAGCTGTTTCTAGTGAACATTTATCTTGCCTAAATCATATGCAAAATGACAAACGCAGGCTACCATTCAATCTCATGGATATTTCTATATCCAATATATCTGGCATTCTCATCGCATTATTGACCTCAATAAACTAGTTTTCCACATCATTTGTGAATTTTTTTTTTCAAAATAGGAAGATCTATCTATAAATAAAAAGAGGTACATTATAAAATCTCTGAACAGTGTAGCAACTGTAATGAGGTCAGCCAGATGGACCTCAGGATATGAGTTCCCTGATTGGGATCTGGTGCAATCAGGGGGCCCTGTGACAGATATAAACAGGATTTGCAGACATCTTGACTCTGAGGGAGTTAGACCTGTGTCAAAGGCTCTCCACGTGTAAATAAAGGATGGCTTGGTGACAGGACACTGGCCTCTGTGGCATTATTGCACACAGGTTGTTTGGGAAAATATCTCCAATATCAAGAATTTATGATTTTGTAAAAGCCCTGTATTGGATGTACCTCAGGAAGGGAATATTGTCCTTAAAGGAAGTGCAAAATACGTTTACAAGAATGATACTTGAACTTCAGGGGTTAAGTTATGAGGAGAGGTTATACAAATTAGTTCTGCTTTCTCTGGAATTTAGAAGGTTAAAGAGTGACTCATCAAAGTCTTCAAGATATGAATAGGAAATGATAGGATTGATAAAGATAAACTATTTCCGCTGGTTGGGGTTTCTAGAATTAGGGGCCTTAGTCTAAGAATTAGGGCTAGACTGTTCAGGAGAGATGTCAGGAGCCATTTCTATACATAAAATGTGGTAGATGTTTGGAACTCTCTTCCACAAATGAGTGGATGCTGGCTCAGTGGTTAATTTTAAATTTGAAATAGATTATTTTTTGTCCAGCAAAGGTATTAAAGGGACACAGGAAAAAGGCAGGTATATAGAGTTAGGCTACAGAGCAACCAGGATTTCATTAAATAGCAGAACAGGCTCAAGGGGCCTAAGGTTATTCCAAGATGGATGTTCTCTATCCTATTTGTTGTTAAACTGATTGACTCTATGGGCCATTTCAGAGCACAATTAACAGTCAATGACCTTACTGTAGGTCTGGAGTCATGTGTAGGCCAAATGAGGTAAAAAGGACAGATTTTCTTCCCGGAAGACATCACTTAACCAGATGGGTTTTAATGACAGCTAACAATGTTATATGGTTAGGATTAGGCTCGCTTTTAAATTAATTTTTTTGTTGAATTCAAATTTCACCACCTACCATGGTGGGGTTCAACCCACATTCCCAGAACACAACAGTTAGGATCTCCGGATTATTAATCCAGTGACATTATTACCAAACTACTACCTCCCCTAAAAACTAAAACATAACATCAAGTAACATTATTCAACTGGGTCAAAGGATGTTCACTTCCTGTTCAAGAAAACAGCTCACCACCACCTTCTTCAGTACATTAAATGCTGGCCCAGCCCACAATGTCCACATCCTATGAATAAATTAAAATAATCTTCATCCAATATCAAGAATAGGGCTCTCACTGTGAATGATAGTGTTGTTACCTCTGGATAGGAGGCCCAGGATCAAGACCCACCTGTTCCAGGGGTATGCTATAACATCTGAGCAGGTTGATTGGGAAAATTTCTCCAATATCAGGAATTCCACGCATCATGCAAACCACACACTTCCAACCATAGATGTAGTATTCCAAATCTTACTTGTTGCAGTCCACGTGTAACAAGAGATGGGAAGCGCTGACCGAGAGCGCTATCTGATGCCACAATCCATCAGCAAGTCGATATGGGAACACCTCAGTCCGGGGTTTACCACTGAAACGGTAGTGATATCGTATCTCATCCCTTTGACCGCTGCTCTCCAGTTCAAAATACCTGCATTCAATACAGCAGACCATAAGATTCAGTGGTAATTAAAATTTAATGCATACTATATCAAGATAAGCAGATAACAGTATCACTGTACTTGTTAAAATATTGATATTTTAGGCTATTTATTCTGTTGACCAATTTGAGAGCAGTTTGACTTTGCAAATTTCATATTCAGTTCTTAGTTTCACCCAGGGAATGTATTGACAGGACTAGGTCTATTTGCTTTAAGAAATTTCAGGCTGGAGCCAAATGATCTTCCATTTGTTCATCGAATCTCTACAGTGTGGAAGCAGACCATTAGGCCCATCGATTCCACACCAACCCTTCAAAGTGCATTCCCTCCCAGGCCCACCCTCCAACCCTATTCCTGTAACACTGCATTTCCCATAGCTATTCCACCCAGCCTGCACATCCCTGGATACTATGGGCAATTTAGCATGGCTAATCCACCTGACCTGCAAATCTTTGGACTGTGGGAGGAAACCCACACAGACACAGGGACAATGTGCAAATTCCACACAGACAGTCAACGGAGGCCAGAATTGAATCTAGGTCCCTGAAGCGGTAAGGCATCAGTGCTAACCATTAAGCCAACGTGCTGCCCTCAAATGAAACAACTTCAAGAGAAAATCTTTAGGTCCTATGGACTAGACCAAGCATATGGTGTACAATTGAGTGACAAGAATTTCTTTATAAAACAGCACGTAAAACATATTCTCCCAAACATATCTCTAACAAAACAGAAATTGTGCCTACCATCCATCCCAGAAATCCTTTATCTTCATGAAAGGGAAACTGTTTGGATCTTCCAAGTGAAAGGGTTCCTAATAATATCGGAAGCAAGTTTAACATATCCCAGCCACAGACTAAAATTAAAGTCTGTTTAAAAGAGCATGAACTATAACAGAGAGTCTACTTTTAAGCTAAAGTGAGGACTGTTTTAGGTCCCACTTAGTAAGGAAATTTTGTTTCATCTGTTCTGTCTTGGGTGTGTTACAGATAACATTGTGATACCATGAACGTTCCTGCTTCTTAATGAATGTTAAAACAGCAGTATCTTGACATGTTTCAGCATTACTGTAAAATCCCAGCTATACAGGAGCAGAAAACTCCAATATAAAACACTAACAGTCAGGTTGGACTGTAGTTGTCTTTCTGAGCTGGCCACTGAAACATAAACAATCTTGTGCTGCTTGCTGAATAAAATCTATCACATATTCTTTTTCCCCTTAACATTCTCTTGAATATTTAATACAAACTAATGGTTTTCCCCTTCAAGGACATGGCATTTTTCAATGTCTTAAAGAATAGCTTCATTTACAACAGAGAATGGGTTAGCAATACTATCATACCCTGCTTTAGAAAGCAGAAACTAAACTTTCACAATCCCAGGGGTGTTACGGTACAGAAGGCAGCCATTTGGCCTATTTTGTCTGCACTGGAATTCGAATTCTATACAAAGACAGATTCAAGGCCTGAAGTAGTGGATAAGTATTCAATCACACATATTAGAAATCTACACTAACAATTCCAATACTTGCAATAGTCTTCAATCATAAAACAATCCATGCAGTGCATTTTAAAAAAAGAAATTGTATCTTTTACAATAGTCACTTAATGTAAATTATCGTCACTAAATTCAGGCTAAGCGATAGTCATTAATTTGCCCCCGGGGAAGCCACACTTAAATAAAAACAGTGATGTGAAAAGTACTTCAATGAAAGGAGTGTCAAAGTGTTCCAAGTGATTGTGGAAGAGTACCACAATATAACAGTGCGGTGTAGTGTCTTACAGTTCACTCAAGGAGTCAGATTTACTGTACCAATGTGCACTTTTTACAAAATAATGAAAGCAAAATATTGTGGATGCTGTAAATCTGAAATAAACACAGAAAATACTGAAGAAACTCAGCAGGTCCCTGTAACCCTACATTTCCCATGGCTAATCCACCCAGTCGGCACATCTCTGGACACTATGGGCAATTTAGCATGGCCAATCCACCTAACCTGCACACCTTTGGATTAGACATTTCAACTTTGGAAAAAAAAATTCTGACCGTCAACCCTATCGACACTTTTCATAATTTTGTAGACTTCTATCAAGTCTCCCCTCAGCCTGCAACGTTTCAGAGAAAACAACCCGAGTTTTTCTAGCCTCTCCTTATCACTCATACCCTCTAATCCAGGCAGAATCCTGGTAAACCTCTTCTGAACCCTCTCCAAAACCTCCACATCCTTCCTGTAATGTGACAACCAGAATTTACTGCAATACTCTAAGTGTGGCCAAACCAAAGTCTTTTAAAGCTGCAACATAACTTTGTGACTCATATACTCAATTCCCCAACCAATAAAGGCAAGCATGCCATACACCTTCTTTACCAACTTATCTACCTGCATTGCCACTTTCAGGGAGCTATGGACTTGAACCACAAAATCCCTCTGTACGTCAATGCTTTTCAGAGTCCTGCCATTAACATTTGATCTCCCAAAGTGCAGCACCTCACATTTACCCAGATTAAACTCCATCTGCCATTTCTCCGCTCATATCTGCATCTGTAACTTGCTATATCTTTGACAACCTTCTACACTACCCACTACTCTATCAACTTTTATATTGTCTGCAAACTTACTAACCCACCTTATCTACACTTCCATCTAAGTCATTTATATATATCACAAACAGAGAGGTCCCAGTACAGATCCCTGTGGAACACCACTGGTCACGGATCTCCAGCCAGAAAAACACCCTTCGACCATTACCCTCTGTCTTCTACGAGCAAGCCAATTCTGAATCCATGCGGCCAAGTCACCGTGGATCCCATACATCTCAATCTTCTGGATGAGACTACCATGAGGGACCTTGTCGAAAGCCTTACTAAAATCCATGTAGACAATATCCGCTGCTCTGACGGATGGTTTCAGCCCGAACTTCCCTGCTCCTCAGATGCTGTCTGACCTGCTGTGCTTTTCCAGTTCCACATTTATTGACTCTAGTTTTCAATATCTGCAGTCCTTACTATCTCTATTCACTGCTCTACCCTCAATCACCTTCATCACCTCCTCAAAAAATTCAACCAAATTAGTAAGACATGACCTGCCCTGCACAAAGCCATGCTGACTGTCCCTAAATAGGCCATGTTTTTCTAAATATGCATAAATCCTTTCCCTAACAATTCTCTCCAATAGCTTTCCAACCACCAATGAGAGACTCACTGGTTTGTAGTTTCCTGGATTATCCCAATTTCCTTTCTTGAACAGAGGAACAACATTAGCTACTCACCAGTCCTCGGGGACCTCTCCAGTGGCTGGCGAGGATACAAAGATCTTGTTCAAAGCCCCAGAAATCTCCTCTCTCGCCTCTCTCGATAACCTGGGGTAGATACCATCGGGCCCTGGGGACTGATCCACCTTAAAGCTCTTCAAGAGTTCTAACACCACTTCGTTCTTGATTTCCAAATGCCCTAGCATATTAGCATGCTCCACACAAATCTCACTATCCTCCATATCCTTCTCCTGGGTGAATACCGATACAAAGTACTCATTTAGAATGTCACCCACATTCTCTGCATCCAAGCTCTGCATTGTCCTACCTTCTTTCTAGTTATCCTCTTGTTTTGAAATGTATCTATAGAATGCTTGGCTTCCTTCCTTGGCTATTGTGGTGCTGGCATAGGACTTGAACCCATAGCATCTGAATCAAAGATAAGTGCTATGCACTGTGCCACAAGACCCCAAAATACAGATATGGAAAAGTAAGCATTTGAAGACTGGACAAGCTCAGGACAAAATGTCAGTAGTGTATGTCAGGACAACACTGAAAATTAGACATGTAGTGTTAACATGATAACGATTTGAATAACACCACAACTAGGTCGAAACTAAAGTTAATTTCATTTGTGTACGGTCATAAAAAGAGTTGAGGTTCTAATTTCAAAGTTAGGGAACTCTAAACCTAACATTGATATCTCTTTCTTCAAGGATAACTAAAAAAGTCCAACTCAAAATCAAGTCAGTTTGTACAAGTATCCAGGTCAATGCTTAAATCAGGAATGAGGTTTCCTGCAAATGAGACGCTGGATTGGCTAGGACTTTTTTCCCTGGAGCATCGGAGGCAGCAAGGTGACCTTATAGAGGTTTATAAAATCATGAGGGGCATAGATAGGGTAAATAACCAAGGTCTTTTCCCCAGGGAAGGGGCATCTAAAATTAGAGGGGACAGATTTAAGGTGAGAGGGAAAGATTTAAAAGGGACCTAAGGGTCAACTTTTTCACACAAAGGGTGGTGTGTACGTGGAACGAGCTGCCAGAGGAAGTGATAGAAGTGGGTACAATTGCAACATTTAAAAGTTATTTGGACAGATACATGAATAGGCAAGGTTTAGAGGTACATGGGCCAGACACAGACAAATGGGACTAGTTCAGTTTAGGATATCTGTTTGGTGAGGACAAGTTGGGCAGAAAGGCCTGTATCTGTGTTGAATATATTAGACTCTAAAGGTTACCTTCTCTTGATGCTTGGCCCCTATAATTTCAGGCACAAGCTTCATCTCTGCGCTCATTTTGCCCTCCAAAACAGGTCGAAATGAATTTTTGGACTTGTCTGTTTATCCAAACAGATAGAAACATTAAGGAAATTGAAAATGCTGATCTATCATGACATTTCTCACTTACAAAAATAAATATGTGTTGTTTCTTCACGAGAACAAAATTCTAATCTTCACCCACTCAAAATTAATGCATTTCCTGATCTTTAGCTTCCAATCCCTTTCCTTCATTTCATACAGTTCTGAGGGCCCATTGTAGCCTGCATGTTTCATTCCATTGTTTGGTTTCCCTGTTTCTCTCGACCTGTTCTTGCATCTATCTTAGCTCTTTTCTTCAGATAGTTAACTGTCTCTTTACCCATATCATACCTTCTGCCTTGTGGTAACCTTTTTGTCTTGCAAGCGGACTTTCCAAACAATTGGCACCCCTTTATCCGGGAGTATAACTTGTGATCATTTG